TTACCATAGCAAAAAAATTTCTTTTGTATTTTAAACTTGGTAAGCAAACAACAAGATGATGAGGAGCCATCTCTGAGGCAAGACACAGTTGCAGTAGTACAAGCAGGTTTCTTTTCCTAGTGCTGTAGGCTTTTTTATAAAAAACAAACCAAACAGACACTAGCAAGTGAAAATTTTACAGTTTATGAAGTTCCATGTGTTTTCGTTTACGGGATCTTTTGGATAATTTTCCATACTTATATGCAAGAAGAGCCAAGACCAACACCACAACCACACAAAGAGCAAATTGCACGTACAGCCCTGTTTCTGCACTATGTGATGTTAACTCCAGTCCCAAAAAGTGCACGCTCTCAGGCGGGGCTGGGGCGGTGTCTGTTGGTGCCACTGTCCCTGGGAAAACAATAAGGAAGCATTAGGACACGGGCTGGGGCCAGCTCTGTCACAGGTGAGTGGTGGGCATTGCTGCTTCCTGCCTCTACAAGGCTTCCAAGGTCACAACGCATTGGAGCTGCTCTGGTACTTGGGATTCTTTGGGATCAGGGATTGACACAGCCCCAGCTTGGAGTAAAAGCACAACTGAGGCTCATAGTGAGACTCAGGAGCAGTGAGTGGTCTCTAGCAGCCCAAAAAGCTGATAAAAACAATTATTTAAGAGCCCCACCCCAACAATGGTGGCTGTTCAAATGGACTTCTCTAGTTCAGAGAACATAAATGACAAGAGAATTAATATTTCCGAAGGCTTACCCCAAACACAGATTCATATAAAGTTTTAAAAACTGTTTAGAAAGTGTGATGTGGTAAGGCTCAATGTTTGTGCTTTGGAAGATATCTTGGGCAGTTCTGTTAATCAGAGAAAAGTAGAACAGAATAACTTTTTTGCTGCTTTTTGGAGACAGGCATATATCAAGGTGCTATGGCTCAAAATTCAGTTGTTCAGGTTTTGATGGAGGAGAGACCACTCCACATGAATGTCTTCAATCTGAACAAAGGCTGATGATTAGTCAGTGCTCTACTGGAGCCTGTATAAATGGTGGTGTCCTTAAAGGCTACAGATGATGGAAATGTTTTGGGATTAGAACCTGATAGACACAGAAGCAGGATTTCTGCCGCATGGCTTACCTTCAGGCTCCGGTTCCAGACAGGGATGTGAGCCCGTTGCTGGGTCTGGAAACCCATTGCAGTTGATGATCTGTGAGTAGAACCTGGCGGAGGCCTTGGGGCGCCGCGGCAAGTTGGGGTCTGTGAAGTTCACGTGGTAGAACCCGAACCTTTCATCAAAGCCCACTGCCCACTCGAAGTTGTCCATCAGCGTCCACGCGGTGTAGCCTCGCAAGTCGACACCATCCAGCACAACGGCTGTTGGCAGGACCAGAGGGAAGAGGTTAGTTTGCAGCCCAGTGACAAGGAGGTGTCACCACCGGGCCAGCAGTGGCAGGGAGATACCCCAGGACACTGAGGTTATTGCCACTTCAGCCTCATGGCTTTCACCACCTCTCCCTTCCCACCTCTCCTGTCTTGCCTTAGCTCAGGTGCTTTGAGGTAGTTACAGCCAATGACAGCCAGCCAGGACTGGAGAGAGCTTTTCTCTGCCCCCAAAATCAAAGTTTTCATCCAATAAAAGCTTTAGGAACAGAGAAGAAAAGCCATCAATATGCAACTGTTCCTTAAACAAGGGCTCGTTGGACCTCGTTACTGAAAGGCAGTAAACGGGCACTTCTGGAACAGCTGGCCAGCAGCTCCCAGTACCTCAGAGAAGCAAACTGGAAAAGCCCTTCCCCAATGTTGCTTGACTGTTGCTGTGTTTTTTAAAAAAGATGGAGTTTTTAGACACAGCAGCAGTCAAACTAGAAGTCAAACTAGCTCTTCATCAAGCAGTAGCACCTTCTCCTGCCAGATGCAGCTGTACAGGACACTGCAGTTGCCCTGCCAAACCCAAGGCTTTGTTCTTCCTTCAGATGACCTTTCCCTGCAGAGTGGTGGCTACCCATGGGCAGTCTCTGCCAGCCCCAAAGGCTCGCAGAAATGGACACAGAGCAAAAAAAAAAAAACGTTAAGTGTGTAATTTGCAAGTGTGAGGGCAGATGAGATTTAAATAATCATTCCTACCTTTCAGCGCTTCGTTAATGTAGCTCCGATGGTAATGCGTGCGCCAAGTGTCGTTGAAGTTGAAGGCTCCCCTTTCCGAGATCCCGTTTTCAGTCACGTAAATGGGGGGGTCATTGTACTCTTCCTTTATCCATCTCAGGAGCTTTCGGAAGCCAAAGGGTGTCACCTTTAGCCAGGCAGAACCCGAGTTGAGCCAGCTGCGGTCGCTCACTGAGGCTACACCCCTGAGGAGGAGGAGGAGGACACATTAGTCAAGGGACCAGTCCCAAGTGCCTGGCACCTCATTGCCATGGGGCTGGGAAACGTGGTGCCCAGCCCTGGAGGAAACTGAACCAGAGGTGACGTTGTAGCACGGACTGAGCCCAGTGTCCTTCTTCTACAGGGCTGAACCGGAGGGGCTGGGATGCAGCAGCAAAGAGAGGTTATAATAATTTTATGTATTCTCTGTGGAAACGTTTCAGAAAACGGCCAACGTTCACCTCCACATGTGGTCCCACCATTACCATAATGCTCATGAGAAAGAGCAGTAAGCTCCTGCTGTTTGCCTTTTAAAGATAAAAATCTTGACTTCTGTGTACTTAACCATGAAGGGATTTAGCTATTTGGGCTTTGAACTTACATCTACCTGCTGTGGTGAGGGAGCAAACAACTGTTTAACAGAAAATGGAGCAGCGTCCATAAACCAGGATAACCTGGTAGTTCAAAGTGCAGAGTGGGGGCAGGAAATACGCTAAATATTGCTGACAGGTGATGCCAAACCATTGGGACACTCACAAGTGCAGATTCCTTCCTTTAGTACATCCTCTAATTTTCTTTGTTCTGTTTTAAATATTCACCTTTATCATCAGCTCTGTGAAAAAAAAGGGCTGTTCCTGGACTTTTGCGAAGATAACGGCGTTACCACAGCTACTATTTGGGGATAGTGTGAAAAAAAAGGGCTGTTCCTGGACTTTTACGAAATTAACAGCATTACAGCAGCTACTATTTGGGTACATTTCCCTATTACTGATTATAACAACAGCTTAAACTATTTGTCTCATGGCTTTATTGGCTCACAGTTTACATGGCTGGGTTGGCCCAGGCTCCAGGAGCACGTATTTCACTTGAGCCATAACGGATATTCATCTCTTACCTGTCGGAGTCATAGGACATCACGCCAGCAGGGTAGTTCAAGTTGTAGGCTAGAACTGTGGTGTAGTGATTTAGCCCAAAGTAGTCGTACGTGCCTTTAATTCTTTGCTTTTCACTTTCAGTAAATTCTGGAAGGCTGCAACAGAAAACAGGGAAAAGCATAAACCCCTCAAAATGTAAGTCTTTTCAGGATTCCCCCTTCTTCTGCTCCCTAGTCAGGGTGTATAAACTCAACTAAGCTTTTGCCAGAGTATGCGATTTGTGCTGCCTGGTCTAATGGTCTCCAAGAGAGAACCAGACCTTCCCCTGACCAGGAAAGAGACACCTGATGGCTGGAGGCCCTGCTCATGGTCAGATGAGAAGTTAGTGGCAGAAGCAGCACCTCACTGGCTCCTGGGGCCACCAACCATTAAGTAGCGCTTGTTCTGGAGCAGAAAACAGAAGTAGAGACACGGGTGTTATTTTTTCTGTGTGTTTTGTCGTGCTGTGCTCGAGCTCAAAAGCACTTCTCATCAGAGAAATCAAAAACTCTTCTGCTCTATGAGCATCTATAAAAGTGACACATGACCTTCTTGCCCTCAGACACGGGTTTCTTCCCAACTGTGGGATCCCAAAGGGTTAAATTTGGACAGGGTCTGCCTTCACTGCTGCAGTTTGCTGAAGATAACATTGAGGTGTCTAAAAGCTCAAGGGAAAGGGGAAGGAAGATAACTAACAGACGTAAAAATGGAAAATACAGCTTAACAACCTCAAACTACACCAAGCAACCCCTTTTTCTTCAAGTGCTGGTTTGTAACTGTGTTCAGGTGGGGCAAGAGGCCTTGAAGCCAGGATGTCAAGTGGCTTTGAGTGTGCACCAGGACAGTGCTGGTGAGAAACATTGGGTGCAAACAAGCTGTAGAACAGGAAAAAAGAAAATCAAAGAAGGTGAACGTGAGGCACTTCTGGAAGGGTGACTCTGGGACCTGCTCTGCTCTTCTCTGTGTGGCAGCAGAAGTACCTGTACCAGCAGAGGATGATGCAGTGTTGTCTCAAACTCTGGCTTCTACACAGGAAACAATAAAAGCTTCTGAGCTTTCTCCTTGCGATCCATCCTTTGAACACACACTGTGTGTAATGTTGTTATCCCTGTACCAGCACCACAAGCACAAGGGGAGGTACCATGATCCTTCTGGAGGAACATGGAGAAACCCAGGAGAAACTGGGAACTCGGCTCTGTGCATGGACTCTACCATTTAATCCCAAAGAGCTTAGTTCCCTTCAAAAGGGAGGCCTCCTCAGAGAAGAACATCCCCTTTGGTATCTGCAGGCCTACAGAGTCAGGGACATCTAGGGTACCCTGGAGCAAGGAGCGAGGTTTCAGCTCTCTTTTAGCCAGAAGGAGGAGAAAATCCTGCAAATTAGGTCCTCCAGGCAGCCCCTGCTGAAAATGCAGCCAGTGCTCCTGGTGATTTGACTGAGAGTTTGCAGCCTTAGATTGAGGACAGGACATCTTCCCCAGACTGAGATGCTTGGGCACGTTATCTCATAAAGCAACACACAGTGACTTTGCTGCCTTATTAATGGCAGCAACTGCCAGAGAAGAAATAAGGTAGCCAAGAAATAAGGTAGCCAAGAAATAAGGTAGCCAAGAAATAAGGTAGCCAAAAAGTGCCTGAGAACCCACAGGTTCTAGGCACATATAAAAGTATAACTTGAATCTTGAAGAATCTTTGCAGCAGAGCATACACCGACTCGTCTACCATCTATCTCCCTCATTTCAAAAACAAGTGGTCTTTCACATTTTCAGAGAGGAATGATCAGGACTCGCCCCAGATCTAATCTACCCCATTAAATTGCTATTAAAGCCAAGAGGGAAAAAGGGCTTCCCTTATATGTGCCTAGAAAGGGAGAGAAAAGGAAAAACATTGATGATGGAGCACTGCTACCACAATAACGTTAAGAAAATTAATGGGAGTGGAAAATAAGAAACATAATTCCGAGGGACTGATGAGTTCTCAATGTTTGGGTTCAGTACAGAGTTTTAAGAGAAGTTAGTTAGAACACATTTATCGTGGTCATCAGGGAAAGCACTATGTCTAATGCAGAGCTTATACTGTGTCACCCTGAGCTGCCAACTTACTGCCCCAAAGATATGTTATATCAGTACGTTTAGTTTGCAAGAGAGGGAAAGAGAGGGAACAGGCAAAATGCACACTAGAGTTTTTCTGTGGGAATACAGTAAGATTTTTACAGTAAGATTGCAATGGAATCGGTGAAATTTAGCGCTTCTATCAGAAAAAGGTTTCAGCAGGGCAAGCAGAACAAAATCAGGCATGTGCCTGGGCTCTTACCGGGACTTCTTGAGACCCTGAGCCAGACTGCGTTCCCGAATCCTCTTCTTCATCACTTCATTATAATCCCCATTTTTGAAAATGGGATGAGCAAACCAACCTAGGAGAAACTAAGGCAGGAAATAAGGGAGAAGGATAAATTATGTATCAAAACAAGAGATTTAACCATTTCTCCTTCACGTGCTGCTTTACGGGTAGTACCTCAATTCATAATGAGGAGGCACATGGCAATACCCAGGGCTGCCCGTATGATGGCAGTAATTTTGTCACTGCAACCCTATTTTGCCTGATTTCTGTTGCATGTTTCATCAGCCACCAGAAGAGGGTGATACATTTCCTTGCAGTGATACCTCGGGCTCATAATTTTCTTTCAGTGAGATGCTGACCTGAGTTCTGGGTATCTCCAGCACCCAGAGAAAGGGGGGGTGCCACCACGAACAAACCCAGGAGCAGCAGGGAGAGCTGGGACAGGGTGTCTCTGTACCTGCAAGTACCGTCTGGCGGCTTCGACGTCCTCCTGGTTGTGTGGGTTCCTTGGTTCTGCCCAGTCAGAGTTGATGGTGATGGAGATTAACCCTCCTTGCTTTGCCCGGAAGGTCTCATTGTAGAGGTGCCAGGCTTCCGCGTGGGCCTTTATTAAGTTGTGCCCCACCACGTAGGGGGCTCGTCCTGGCCGAACGGAGACTCCTGCAGAGACAGTGACAGCACAGGCAGTGGAGCAGCACTTCCCAGCTTTGTCTCTCTCGTTGGCTGCTTCCCAGTTAGCACAACACCCAGGACACCCAGAACTGCCCACCAGTAAATGAATAAACGTGCAGCACCTGGTGCCCTCAGGCCCAGCTGAGGTCCCTGCTTCATCAGGGACACCTGAAGGTGCAGCTGCAGGGGTCAGGCTGTGCAGGACCCCACTCTGCACCGTCCTCCCCCACGGTGGGACACGGGCTGGTGGACAGAGAGGAGAAAGCTGCGTGTTCAGACCAGCTCCCACCCCTCCCTTTCCTCTCCTTCTGCCCTCCTCCAGCCCTAACCCTTCTCCACAGTCCCTGGAGCTGGCCTGGAAAGGGGGTCTGCTCCAGACAGCAAGTGTAATCCGGAGGTGGCAGAAGAGGGATGGATTGGAGGAGTGGAAGGAGGAGAATGGGTTTTGGAGGGGGCAAAGTGAAAGAAAGACCTGTTCACCACAC